TTATTTTTTCTTTTTTTCAGCCATGGCATAGTTAGCGGTATTGCTGGTTTAAGGGTGCCAAAATCAAAAACCTAGGCCAGAAAAGATGATTTAAGGGAAAAACAAGACCTAGAAACAGCTAAAAAGGTTTGAATTGTCATTCTTTACCTTCTGTCTTTTTATTTATTTAGATCCTTTATGGTATGTGTGGGTCACATTTTCCTGCAGTTCTCTAACACTCAGGGCGTTTAGAATTATGGTTCATGAATTTTAATGAAAGTTGAGATTATTATGTAATCATATGCTGGGGCTTTAATTAAATCACCAAATAGGAGAAGAACTGCATTTAGAGAGGTGAGAGCTGAAGATGCTAATTTTTAAATGTCTTTGTTTTACTTTGGCATGGGTATCTCAGATATCTAATGCAGGCCATCTCTTATACCATTCCTTACTCCCCTTGCAGGTATCATTGCATTAGTGAACATCTGGTTTACATTTAAAATTTGATTTTACAACCATGAGGCCTAGAGACTTCATAATGTTTGTAGTGCAAGCCTGAGTTTTAGAGCACAGGCTACTACCCTACATGTTCAGAGCGAGCTAGTCCCGTTTCACTTGTCTTTTTCTCTTTGTGACTGTCATTTTGGTATTAGGGTCTTCTCCATTCCTGCCTCCTCTTCCATTCACAGTCCTCACACTCAGCTGGGCTGGGGGAGGCTGTTTTCCCTGGAGACCTGTTAGTCACTTAGTAGGGAGAGCGAGCCAGTTGGCTTTAGTGAAGCCTGTGTTTTTGTGCATTCTTGAACATGCAAGAGTTGTTCTTGTTGCTGAAAACTGCCTTCATCTTTAAGTGTTAAAACTGTCAGAGCTGTGTTTCCAGATCAGTTTTAGATGAAATGTAAAGTAGATACTTTCCTTCTGAGAGAGACTGCACGCATATAAGCCATGTGGGAGTTTGATTTGGGGTTTATCCCTCCTTTTCTGCTGCTGGTATGCTCAGCCTCAGCAGCCTGGTCAGCAAGAATGATAAAGAAAAGTAATTGGATGGTGTGAGGCTGTTTACCATCGCTCTGGACCAAATCTATTCGTAGTAATTCTTCGAGGAGGTGGTGGGGTCTGGAACAAACCCTTCTGTTAGTGATAAACATAAATCCCTCTGTTTCCAAATGCATTTTTGTGTCTGTATCTCTGTTTTCATGCATGAACCAATTAAACGACATATTTTTTTCTTTTTTTCTGATTTCAGAAGGTTGACTCAGACTCAAGTGGCTTTATGCACACTCTCTATGTTTCTCCGTGTTTGTGGTTGGTTTGTTTGGGTTTTTTAAATACAGTTTTCTTCATTTTTTGATTTCTATAAAGCGTGTGGAAATTGTGATTTCCAAGTAGCCCAATAGGTCAGGCATACTTGCTTTCCTCCTTTTCTGCATGTTGTTCTCCAGCACTTACTGTTTGTCCATTCAAAGGAAATCTTTCCCAGGTTCAGAAGTAGTCTAGCACAGCATGGCTTGTTGAGCTAAAGGGTGTCGTACCAAGGCAATCATTCCTCTGTAGGATGTTGGCCTGGCAGAGTTTTTGTTACAACTGCTTTACCTGTTTTTAGTTTTGTTTTCTGTCTTCTGTCTTAAAGCTTGAGGCTCTTTTGTAAATGTGAGATACTTTTTATTTCATTTTTTCCTCCTTCACTCCTTTGTTACTATCGTCCATTGCAAATAGGCTAAGAACATTCTAGCATGAGATGAAAACTTTTCTAGATTGTGAGGAAGAAATGCATTTTAAAGCCAAGTAAGATTTGGTAGGTTATAAAAATGGGAGGAAAAGGCTGGCTTCATAGGATCATGCATTTTACTACCATGCTTGAAAACTGCCTAGAATTGGCAAGGTCTCTTACCATCCTAGAACTCTTCCTTTGCTTCCTTGGGCTCACCATTTTACCAGGTGATAACCACAGGGTTAACTCAGTAGAGCATCCTGGTGTAGTACGTGACATACAAAGAGAGAACAATTGTGCTGAAATTCTTTTACACTAGGGGCAATGGATCTATCAGCAAAAATACAAACACTGATTCCACACTGTGGCTGATTCCACAAAGGCACATTTGTAGAGAAATTAAATGAAATGCGGGTTGTGTAATTTGCTATGAGGAGTTAGCAGTTTGCTAATAAAATGGTGCCAGAATAAGCAAGGGGTCACTTGGTTGGTTCCAATGTGTTTATGACTGGTTGCTTCACTGGTGACTTTGGCCTCTCTTCTGTAAGTGATTTTGATAGTTAGATGCTGAGGAATGGAGCAAGGACGAGTTACAGCCTTCGGACTCATTTTTCACTGTAACGTTAGCTACTGCTGCAACATCCAGTCTGTGGAGCACCCCAGGATTGCCCACACCTGGTAGAGGAGCAGGGCCAGAGATGGGGGACTTGGGCCAAAAGGCACCTGCAAGCTGTGGAGGAGGAGGAGCAGCGGAGCAGAGCAGGGGCTGGCTGTGGGGCTGGGGAAGCACACGAGAGTGCTCCGGCGGCTGAAAAACTCTGTGTGGAGATGTGAAGCACCAGGCAGTAACTGGGGAACAGGGAACAGGGTGGGCAAACCGTGCCTGAAGAAGAAGAATGTTTAAGAGGACTTGATTTGGGCTTGAGGATTGATGGTGATCACAAGTAACCACCCCTGGCACACGTCAGTCTGGTTTCCTGGGACTGGCTGGACTTGGAGCATCCCTACATTCCGTGTACCTCCTCTAATGGGAACAATAACTCCAAGCTTGACTTTTAACTGCGTTGCTTATTTTTGGTGCGATAGTAAAGCAACCCTTCACTTTTCAGTAAACTATGGATTCAGTGAGGGTAAGAGCATGAAAAACCTGGCGGAGGGATCTTATGCTACACTTGGTTTTGAGGGTGTGGTATGCGCTGCCAAATGTCTGTAGAGCCCGGAAAACCACAGTAACCATAGCCAGGCCTGCAACATTAATCCTTTTTTCTTAACTGTGAAATAACAGGCATATTTTTTGTGCTAATTTCACTGGTAGGAAGTTGTAGGTAAAGACATACCTTATCATGCTGGGAATCGCAGGTGGTCAGGCTCATGCTAAATTAATTTTTCTTCAGCCAAGTAAATTAAGAAAGCGGGCACCACTTCCCCATAAGGCATAGGGGCTGAGGAGTTAAAACTGAAGTGGTTTTTTTGGTCCAGAGTGGCAGAAGCCAGGGAGGAAGCACAGGTATGAGGGTTTTGGCAGAGGTTCTGTGAAGCATATAACCTTTGGTAGATGCATCTCTTGGTAGCTTCTGCATACCAGTTATTTGCTGAGGGGCCAGCTTTCATAAACATCAAAGCTCGGTTTCATACAGTAATGAGCAAACATAACAGTATGGAGAAACAAACAGGGAAACCTGGCACAGCCAGTGTTTCCACCAACAGTATATGGAAAAAGGAAATAACTACAGTAAAATGAGGGGGTCAGTCGTGAGGCTGTATCAGGTAAAAAAAAATGGTGTGACATTTCTGATCTTTGATGCCTATCTGCATGTGCAGCGTGTCTCCAGTTATGGGGCTAGGTAATCGTAAGTAATAAAGAAATGAAGGGGCCCTTGGAGAAGGAAAGGGTAAATAGGAACAGTTGATGGAGAAGATGTATGTGACTTTCCTCATTTTTCGAAGTAGTTTTAATCTCTTGTCCTGGGATGAGTGTTTCGAAAGAAAAAAACATAGGTTGTAAATCTCGTTGCCTACCTCTGACCTGGGAGAAGGCATTTCCTTTGGGAAGGAATGTTGGGGGAAAAAAAGAACAAGAAAATGTTCATGACTGTAAGTCATTACATGTCACATTAACCCTCCTATCTTTCATTCACATATTTTTATATTTGCATTAAGCTATGCTCGTATGAGTAAGAAAAAGCATTACCCAGAAGAGATCCCCGAGTAGCTGTAAAAAACCCCAAGCTCCCAGGCTGGAACACATGCCAGCCGAGCGCTCAGAGGCAGGATTAGCAGTGGCAGCCGCCCTGTGTGCTGCAAAGCTCAGGCTCCACCAGAGCCATGTCTGGGCACTCCCTGGTGCTTTCCAGGGCTTTTTAGGCAGGTGTGAGAATAGCTTTATTGTCAGCAGTTCACGTTTGCCCGTAATCTTTGGATACATAAAGCAGTATTAAAACGTACTGGGTATTCTCTCTCTCCTCTTTTTTTGTCCCCCACCATGACATACATGGAAAGGGCTGCTGTGTGCAAATTGTATGTTGCTTAAAGAAAGAGAGTGAGTGCCTGTGTTAGCATACAGTTATGAAGTACAGTAGAAAAAAGATGGGAGGAGACAAATTATTTTTTCTGGAGCCCATCTGTGCCATCCAATGTCTGAACCCTTGTCTCACAACACAATCTCCTGTGGGGCTGCATAGAGGATTTGAGAGCTGAAATTGGGCTATAATTAATGCTTGCCTTCTCTTTAACTTGAGAAGCTGTATACCATCACAAATCTCAATTTCCACAAGAACCCATCATCTCTAAACTCTCTCTCTCTTTGCTTTCCTCTGCAATATAATGACCCCAACCTGTTTTCCTTTAGAAGGTGTACCTTTACTTTTTTATTACACTGAGAATAATTCAGTGGTGAGACAGAATTAGAGCTGTTGCTAACTTTCATGCCTGGTATAAAATGTGCATTGCTATTTAATCAAATGTCCCCTGGTTTTAATAATCTCCTTATTCATATATCAGCTCTCCTTTTGCCAGATCAGTATTAAACATTTAGCTAAAGCTGAATCTATGGCAGTGGGAATTTTATTGGCATGAGCAGTGTTGTGATGGTAGATGTGTTTTGGCTCTGAATGTAAAGGTACAAAGTTATAGTAACAACTCTCAAATCTTCTCACCCTCATTATGAAGCTAAAAGCTGTTTGAAATAAATTGTAAAAGCAAACCTGTTTTTTCAAAGAAAATGAGTAATGGATATAAAAGCGTGAATGTTTCAGTTAAAGCTAATGAGTGCGATTTTTCACTTACTGTGCTTTTCTTTGTTTTTCAGCTCATGGGGCACTCTGAATGGGATCACAAGCGAGGACCCAGAGGCTCACAGGTCAGTTGCTCAGTATTTTGTGTTTGGTTTTGGCTTTTCGTAAGTTTGAGTTATTCAAGCAAGTTTTCCATCTGAGATTGGCAACAAACATTTTGTTAATGTTTGCAGGATTGAATCAATGGAAAAAAGCATAAAACCGTGACAGCTTTCATTAATACAATTTTTGAGCTGTAATCCAAACAGTTGATCCAGACAGAGCTGAGTCATGCAACAGAAAGTTTCTTTCAATAGCAGAAAGATGGATTAGATGTATTGAGAAAGCATTTCTTACTCAGCTGTCTCCATCAGGATATCAAAGGAATGCAATTTCAAATAATGTATGTATGTTTTGTGGTGTTTTGGTTTTTTTTTTTTTTTAAACCTGACAAACTTGTAAAACTTGGATGGCCCTCTCACCTTGTTCAATAATAAAGGGACTAGTGGTGTTAGAACTCTGTGGGGAGGTGCAGGAAAGCCATGTGTAGCTACTGGTTTGCTCTTGACACATCATTGAAAGGAAGTTATGCTACTACTATTAATGGCATCATGCCGATACATTTTTAAATTATCTATAGAATTACAGTTGCTGCAAAGGAGACATCACTACCAATATTGATGTTCAGGAATTTTCCTGCTTGGGTAAAGCAGTCTTTGCCATCTGGTGTTAAAAATATATAAACTTATTATTAGGGCTCCGGTATTTTGGAATTGCTTTTCCTTCAGGTGAAGGGTTTTTATATGAATATGAACATCTATGTCTAAATCTATAATAAACAGGCTCTGCTGCTGCGGAGCTACATGTTTGCAACCTTAATCTCAGTAGGGTAGTTCCTAGCCTAACCTTCATAATGCCCCTTGCAAAAATCACTGGTGTACCTGCCTTTTTAATGAGAAAATATCATATGTTAATCAGGAAGCTGCTACTTATTTTAATAGACAAGATTTACTATTTTTAATGCAAATTTCATTTACTAAGTTTTGCTTTTTTGCCCTTACTGTTGCAGAATTTTATATTTTTTTTCTGAAGTTTTCTAAGCTTCTGTCTTGCTTCTCATTTCAAAACCATCTTGAAGTTTGCAGGAAATTCAGTATTTCATTAAACAGTTTAAGATGGGTTGCAGATCTGATCTTTTCAGGTGACAGTCTGTCATTTCAAAAAGATAAAAGAAACGGAAAGAAAGCTAGTTTTCAGTGGAAACTGAGGAACTTCAGAAATCAGGGAAATCCTATCCAATAAGGTGAGACCTGTTCAGTACGTAATCTCTCCTGCCTCATCTGATGTCCTAGTTGATCATGTTGTGTTCTTCTGGTCCAAAGAGTAGAAGGTAAATCGGACTCCTCTAAACTATTGTTGAGAAGGCGGCAGTCACTTGGAGGACTCTTAAGGTGACTTAGTCTTCTTAAACTTTTCTAGCATTATTGCAAATCTTTATGTAATTTTTATATGCATATGAAAATACGGGTAGTCTTTTGTATGTTCTGAACCATGCCCTACAGTCCTAATACTTTGCCTATGGCAGCAAAATATTTAGAGACTGCTGGAGTGCATATGAAGTCTGCGCTGGTGTTGCATCAGAGAAGGAGGCCTAAGTCCTGTCTAAGTCCTCATGCCTGATACATCCTGTTGGCTGTGTGCCTCTGTGCTTGAAGGATTTTTTGTTGTCGGCTAGACATTTTTGGAGGTTTAGAGGTAGCCAATAAGAAATGTTAGAGAAAGGGATTGAGGTGGAAGGTAAGTGGTATCAATCTGGTCAAAATAGATTTTAAATTAAAAGGTAAGACTGATCAAGTTGACTATCAAAAATGTGTCTTGCTGCAGGAAATTGGACTTGGGCTGTTTAATAGATCCCTTTTGAGTTTTCTGGGAAAGTGAACTCACAGGATGAAATAGTTGCCAAAGAATTTTTTAATTATTTGTTCTCATGAGGCTACAGTTTCTTCCAAGGAGGGTTCCAGAGAAATTAATACATTGCCTGGTTTCTCTCTTTCGCCCCTTCCTAGGAATAAGGAGGGCTTGCATGGCATGGCCTAATTTCAAAGGAAGAGGTCTCGTGGGCATTAACTCAGTTGCTGCAAACGCCCATTGTCGTGGTTTAACCTGGCAGGCAGCCAAATACCACGCAGCTGCTCACTCACTCCCCCCCCCCCCTTTGGACGGGGGAGGAACAGGCAGAAAACTCGTCAGTTGAGATAAAGACAGTTTAATAGAACAGAAAAGGGAAAATAATAATGATAATGATAATATATACAAAATAAGTGATGCACAATGCAATTGCTCACCACCCGCGCTGACCGATAACCAGGTAGCGATCCGTACTTCCTGGGTCACGCCTACCATTCATATACTGAGCATGACGTCACATGGTATGGAATACCCCATTAGCCAGCTGGGCTGGCTGTCCTGATTATGTTCCCTCCCATCTTGTGTACCTAGCTCAGTCAGTAGGCATGGGAGCTGTCCTTGAACTAGGAGGGTACTTAGCAACAACTGAAAACATCAGTGTGTTATCAACATTCTCCTCATACTAAATCCAAAACACAGCACTAGGAAGAAATTTAACCTTATCCCAGCCGAAACCAGGACACCCATCTATATGGAATGCAAGTAAAACCATTTTTTGGGTACTGTTAGGGAAGGTGGTACTTGGGCAAAATGAGATAACTGGTTACTAAACATATAAATGAAGTTCTCTGGGTTTCATTAGAGGCTGAGAAGATAACTCTATATAAATTCAAAAATTTTCTCTATCTTTCTGAGAACGGTTTTGTTCCTTCCTTGTGTGATGTTTTAGATACTCCACCACCATTTCGTATTTAAAAAAAAAAGGGGGTGAGGAGAACTTCAGTGGAATTCTCTGCAGGTCAGGCTGCAGTCGTTTGAACCCTTCCTGAAGGATATTGTTGAATTATTAAAAACATTATTCTAGAAAACTCTGTATCAGATTTTCATGTAGAAGACTGCTGCTGATTATTTTTTTTCTTAGGCAGAATGTCTTTTAATTTTATATTTTTAACAAAATAAGCAAAAAATACTTCATGCCCGAGAGTGCGTTCCTTCAAAACAGGATAGAATTTGCATACGTAGGGTTTCCGTGACAGAGCAGTGAGGTGTTTCCCTCTAAATCCATCTAAAAAGAAGTGCATAGTTTTAATCAATTTCATCCTGTAAGCGCTCTTTTATTTCATTTGTGCTGCGTATAGGTGTTCTGCAAACCTTCTAGAAAGCTACTTGGTATAAATCTTGGAAGAACCTTGTAAAACTAACAATCAATATGTACCGCAGAAATGTTAAAGGATCTTGAATAGGGTGAGAAGAGAAAATGACCCAAGCTCTCTGACTACCATGTGGTATCCTAGTGCCCAGTCACAAGAAGCAAGGAAGAAAAGTTTCATTAGGGGAAAGAAAATAAGCCTCAGTTATTCCACTGTAGCCTCAGACTCTCTCTTTTACATGGCTCTGAAAACTGTCTTTGATAGGAATAGTCTTAAACCTAATTTAACTAGTTCCGTGAAAGGTTAGGAGAAATTTAGGAGGTTCCGATTTTTGCATGTAATAGAAAAGACCTGGTTTATCCTTTTGTGATTCAGTTGCATTGTTGCCAATTTGTGTCCTTAATAAATGTACCTTTTGTTGAACAAGACCTTGCTTAAAAATTAAGATGAGTAATCTGTTAGGTATATACTTCTCCTTCAAATCTAACGCATCAGGTATTTAAAGATGGACTGGCAATTGCCTGCAGGATCTGCCAGAGGGTTGGTTATGGTGTTTCCCCAGGTCTGTGGGGCTTTCCTCCCCCACAAGACCAAGAAATGGGACTTGGGAGGAGAAGTCTCTCCCGGCCAGTGGTAGCCTGCGCTGCTCGGGAACGCTTATGTTATTAGGAGCCAATTTATTAGTCTTCCATGATCTTTTAATTCTTATAGAGTAAAGTGAAGAAAGTGGGAAGATAGATCTTAGGAAGCCACCCCCTATGTGTGTGAATGTTAGCAATGTCACTTGTGAGAAAAGGAAGTGGAACCACTGGTTTACCATAATATAAAATCCACATATAAACTCATAAAATTATTCTACCAAGGCTCATTAAACAAAACTCTAATTCTGTTAAGATTTTTTTAAGAACTAGTAGGTTTTCTAAGGTATGTGTTGAAACATGAGAGGAAACTACTACAGTGCATGTCATACTTCTTAATGACCCACTTGGAAAATACGTTCCTTTTCTGCATGTGGGGAGTTAAATGCAAAGTGATGTAGTTACAGGTAGTGATGGATGTCAGATGAGATACACTGAGGCTTATGGGAATTTCTGTTTGCAGGAGTTTTTCTCCTGATAAGTATCTGCAATTCAATAGAATGTAAATGGGACAAGTAAAATGCTGTCTTTACAATATTTAACTTGCTCCTGACTTCCACACCAATACTGCACTCACTTTTTTATAGATTACACACATACACATGTATATGTATGTGTGTATGTTGTACGATTCCTTTTCTTTTAGAATAATTATACTAGTAAGGCTGCTGTAATTAGAGTGAATTATAGGTTGCCTTACAAAGAGCTATGAGTTCCTGGCTACCTACTTCTTCATTTTTTTTTTCCCTTCTTTTTTTGATCTCTGAAGATAACACTTCCTGTTGTAAATGCTTCATGCAGAGAACTTACTCTCTGGATTTGAAATCATGCAGAAAGTGTAAAGTGAATTTCATTATGTTCCATGCTTAATTTTTAAAATTAACACAGGTTAGGATTTAGGCACGGAACTTCAAAATTGAGTTCCAAGTTAAAGGAATTCCTAAACGTTTAGGAATGATTAGCCCACCTAAAGAAATCTCTCTCTCTCAAATATACACATGCAGTCTGTAAAACCACATCATCTCATTCATGTGAGGGGAAAATATTCATACCCTTTTCTAATATCAGTACGTGCTACAAGAAAATGTGATTAGCAGAATTCATCCTTGGCATATTATCCCTCTGCAGAAAAAATATGCAAACTGTATTTTAATTATTCTACTAAAACAT